AAGGGTCATTAAGGGACAGGAACAGGGGGAAAATTTTAATTTCCTCAGTTATCCCTTTGTACCTTTGAAAAAGATTTTCTCTGTGTGCGTACGCAATATTCAAATAAAGAAAGAAATTTATAATTATCCTAAATTGTGAAAGTATCAATATTAAGATTAAATCAAAAAACATGTCCAAAATACTCAATGTCACATATACTATGTATGTCATTTATGTCATATAACATATACAACATATACATATAACATGTAATATACTATAGCAAGGTCTGGAAAAAATGTACTCTTGCAAGAAAAAGTTAATCAAGGTGAATCATAACAAAAAAACCAATGTCCTAAAAAAGTATATATATATATACATATATATATATATTTTTTTTTTTTTTTTGCGGTACGCAGGCCTCTCACTGCTGTGGCCTCTCCCGTTGCGGAGCACAGGCTCCGGACATGCAGGCTCAGCGGCCATGGCTCACGGGCCCAGCCGCTCCGCAGCATGTGGGATCTTTCCGGACCTAGGCACAAACCCATGTCCCCTGCATCAGCAGGTGGACTCTCAACCACTGCACCACCAGGGAAGCCCCTAAAAAAAGTATATTTTTTTACCTTTTACCTAGCAATCCTAATTCCAGTAACTTAGCCTAAGGAAATAATTACACAAGTGTACAAAACAATATACTAAGTTGTTTATCTAAACATTGTTTAATAGCAAAAAAAAAAATCAGAAATGACACAAATATCCAGTATAATTCCTTATATCCATAAAATGGGATACAATGTAGCATTAATATAACTTGGATATATTTGTTTTTATTAATGTTTATTTAGATTTTTAAAATTTATTCATTACTTATATATAAGTAAAATAACACTTATACATATTATATATACTATAGTGCCATGTTTGTTAAAAAATTTTATGTGTGTACACACTTATATTGGAGAGCATCTAGAAGGATATATATTAGAGAAGCTGTCTCCTACTTTTATTTATTTATTTTTTTGCGGTACGCGGGACTCACTGTTGTGGCCTCTCCCGTTGCGGAGCACAGGCTCCGGACGCGCAGGCTCAGCGGCCATGGCTCACGGGCCTAGCCGCTCCGTGGCATGTGGGATCTTCCCGGACCGGGGCACGAACCCGTGTCCCCTGCATCGGCAGGCGGACTCTCAACCACTGAGCCACCAGGGAAGCCCTATCAGTACTTTTAATTCCCTCACAGTTTGTTTTTTGTTCTTTTTAATTTTATTTATTTATTTTTGACTGCGTTGGGTCTTCATTGCTGTGCACAGGCTTTCTCTAGGTATGGCGAGCGGGGGCTATTCTTTGTTGCAGAGCACCGGCACGGGCTCTAGGCACTCAGGCTTCAGTAGCTGTGGCACACGGGCTTAGCTGCTCTGCTGCATGTGGGATCTTCCCGCACCGGGGCTTGAACCCGTGTCCCCTGCACTGGCAGGCGGTTTTTAACCACTTTGCCACCAGGGAAATCCCTCACAGTTTTGCTCTCTTAGTTTTTCCTCCTCTTTTATTTTTTTTTTTAAACAGTGATCATGTTTTACTTATACAATTAAATAATAATTAAATCAATATTTATTATTTCTATATGCTAGCCACAATTCTAAGCATTTCTCGTATATTAACTCAACTAATTATTAAAATAACTCTATGAGTTACTCTGTGTGAGGTTGGCATTACCATGATCCACATTTTACAGATGAAAAACAGATGCACAAAGGTTAAAAAGCTTCTTCAAAATCATAGAGCTAACAGGTGGTGGAGACAGATTCCAACCCAGGCAGACTGGCCCCAGAGCTCAAGCCTTTAACTGCAGTGCTAAACTGCCTCTCAAACTGAAAAATGCAAGTTGCAAAAATAGTATGGTCCCATTTTGTACGGTATGGTCCCATTTTTATAAAAACTGTTTTTTTAAAGTGGTATATGTAGTGTATACATTTAAAAAATCTAGTTGCTGAGATTATACTTTTGATCTATGTTATATATTTCTGCAAGATTTAATTATTTTTAAAAATCAGTTACTTTAGAGCAAGGGGCAAAAATTAAAACAATACCCTTTTCTCCCTTGTTGCTATGGGGCAATGCAGAAAGCAGGCTGAGAGCCTGTATTGTGCTTCACTGTGTTTTCATTTTAAAACAGTGCTAACAATGTTATCTTAAGGGGGAATACAAATTCTGAAACGTTATCATAATGGGGTCTCAGGGGATCCTACATCGCCAAAAGAAACAACAGAGAACTTCCCCAAAAAAACAGCCTCAGTTGGTGCAGAGATGGCCAGAGGGTGTGGGAAGTCACCAGCCAGGCTTAGGAGCTGCAAAGTTCCTACTATAAAGTCAAGGTTTACAAAACTCTGCAAAGATGCTGGGCATTGTTCTTTCTAAATAGAAACCTCCACTTTATCTGCTTGGAGATGCTTATCTACCCTCCTATAACTATATCCTTTCAGAGGTGTGGCCTCGAGAATTAAGGGGAAGTTTAGATTTCAATTCTGATTAGGGCATTTCCTATTTGTCATCTATGGGAAACAAATGTTGAAGTGGTTATACACAACCTTGGAATCTAGCTCCTTGCCTCGTCTTGCCCTGCCCCTAAGTAGACAGTCAAGCTGACAGGCTAGGCTCCTTGACTATTCATTCTACTCTTGGGGACTCTCAACACTGCTGTAGGGCTGTCACTGGGGTTGGTTATCATTTCAAGGGGGATGCAGTACAAGAACTCAACCGCTCACTGCCCTAGGGACAGAAGCCTAATAAAACTGAAACCACGGGGACCTCAAGAGTCACAGCCAGTGACCACATCCACTGGAAGCACAGTTTCCTAGATCTTCTCCTTGAGTTATGGAATAGGAAAAGGCCTTGGAAGGTTTTACTCAAGTTGGGGAGCTGAACTAAAGTAGCACTAAGGTGTCCCTTTAGACTTATAGGAGTTCTGCCAAATTCCCCGATTTGAACATCCTGAATCCAAACTGAAAACTGCATTCCCAACAGGCCAGAACCAAACCAGGTAATTATGTTGCTATACTTCCTCACTGTTACACTGGGATGTCTCTCTATATTCCTGGTCAGCATTATTTTAAAAATGTGAGAACTTTATTAGACCCCTTCCTATACCCTTTTAACTTACTGTTGCAGTTGTTTTCACTGTTCTACCCCTAGAGAGAGCTAGGAATTCAAAACAGATTGTTTCTGGGCTTCCCTGGTGGTACAGTGGTTAAGAATACGCCTGCCAATGCAGGGGACACTGGTTCCAGCCCTGGTCCGGGAAGATCCCACATGCCACGAAGCAACTAAGCCCGTGAGCCACAACTACTAAGCCTGCGCTCTAGAGCTCACAAGCCACAACTATTGAGCCCGCATGGCACAACTACTGAAGCCCGTGCGCCTAGAGCCCGCGCTCCGCAACGAGAAGCCACCACAATGAGAAGCCCGTGCACTACAACGAAGAGTAGCCCCCACTCGCTGCAACTAGAGAAAGCCCACGTGCAGCAACAAAGACCCAATGCAGCAAAAAATAAATAAATTTAATAATTTTTTTTAATTTAATAAATTTTAAAAAACAGATTGTTTCTAACAGAGCCTGAACATTTATGCTCCCTTATTCAGGGTTTCTTGAACCCATGTACAGGTGTACAAACCATGCACATTCACACACACACACACAGGCGCACACACATGAAGAGAAACGTTACAACAACCACTCCAGCCCATTTAGAGTAACTGGGCATGCTGTCACCAATTCGTGGCAAAAGCATACAGGTAAAAGCCAAGTATATACGCTGTTGTCTCCTTCTAATTCTCTCTCCTCCATGCCCTAAATACAGCAAAGGTGCAGAGGGCTGAGGATTCAGCCCAATTACTACAAATCACCAGACACATAGGAAAAGGGCCCCATAACCTGCCCCAGTGTAATGAAACAGGTGACTCCTAGGAATTTCACCCTAGTGAAGAAAGTAGCTGGTGGAGGGTGTCTCACAGGTGTCCCTAAAACATTTCATCTTATCTCCCTGTCTCCCAATAAAGAAACAGATCTGGTAAAAAAGAAAACTGAGTTGAGAATCTAGAAACCTGAGTCCTAGTTCTAGCTATATTATCGACCAATGTGTAGCCTTGGGCAAGTTACTTAACCTCTCTGGGCCTCAGTTCCCTTTACTCCACATAAAATGAAACATCCGAAACTACATAAATTCTACATAAGTACAAGAATAGGCTAAATTAGGGGATAATTATATTACAAAAGGTACCCTGGCTTTATGAGAGCAAAGTCTGGCCTTGCTCTCTTTTGGCAACTCTCTTCACTTGCTAAGTGAAAAAAGTGGTCTTTTTCATTTAAGCAGTAGAATCCTTAGAGTGAAGTTACTCCCCCTCTTAGAGAACTGAGCTCTTAGGAACTCAGGTTCCTCATTGCCTCTAAAGTCCCATTTAATTCCAGAATGCTGTGATCCAGACTAGATTTAGCACAGGAGATTTTTAAAGGTAGGCTTCTTCAGCACGTTTTAATTGGTTCAATTTAGCAAAGAATCCAAAGGGCACACAATTCTTCCAGAACTCCCAAATAACAACTCTAACACCTAAAGTGAGGCTTACCAGGCCTCAAAGACCAGCAAGGACCTCCCACTTGATCACCAGCACCAAGCACTATTTGTGTGGTTACCCCAAACCTCATCTTCATTCTTTATACACAGCCCCCTTGCCAATATAGACATGTAAAAGAAACGGAAAACACAATCCTTGTCCTCAAACTAAGGTGCAGGCTTGAGCCCAATGGCTGAGTACACAGGATATAGAACACATAAAAAGAGTAAAATTTACTAAGCAATTTACCAACAAATAAAAGTTAATAGTTCAGATTAACAGATTGATGTGGGTTAATCACAGAAAGTTTTATGCATAAAAGAGTTTTGAGAATCAGGTTTTTAAGAGCAGAAGGAACCCGGATTGCCAGAGAAGAGGGTTCTAGCCCAGAATGGGATTCTGAATCAAGGCTCTTTACCTTCCAAGTGTTGGGGGCAGGTTCCCTGTTCACAAGGCTCCAACCCCCTGATGCTTCCACTCAGTGCCACTCAGGAGACGTTCCCAGTAACCCATCTTGTTGGCTATTCTCCGACTGAGTCTTCCTTCCTAGGGACAAGCTCCATTGCCAAGGGGATGGATGTGATGTCACAATCAGGAGCACTCTATTAATAGGAACAAGGAAGAAAAAGGTGAGTCAGGAGAACTACCTGCACTTGGCAGTGAAACTAGACAGACTGGGATCTGGTGGTTGGTTGAGGAGGACGAGACAACTCCACTAAGAACTATAGGTTTCAAGGCTAGGCATCCAGGTTACCCTCTAAGGAGTGAGATCATCAGCTAAGGAATCACACTCACGGACCAGGTGATTCAAACATAGCTGAGAGGGGGAGAGAAAGGGACAAGAAGAAAGGTAGGGAAGAGGAGCTGTTTGTGATAGAAAAAGGTTCTTTTATTCAGTGCATACAACTAAAAGTAATGTCAATGAGTCTATATCTGTGGCTATACAATGCAGAGAGCCATGACAGCTTACATGCACAGTATGATGCTTTAATGTTTCCAGAGTGCTTTCACATAAATTATTTCATATAAAAAGAATTCTGTCCTACTCTCCACTTGGAAAATACTGTTTCATAAGAAGATGCTCAAGAATGCTGGTACAGGTGCAATTCTACTTCCAAGTCCAGAAATATTCCTGAGGGGATCAGGCTTTAAAAAAAAAAAGTGAAGAGGCAGTGAATCAGGAAATTATTCTAGGGTAGGAAACTGGAAAGACTAGAGGTAGCAGTATGATTAAGCTGACCAGACTCTCATTAGTAAAAGGATGAAACTAAGTAGAAGGAGACAAGGCTTCAGATGCAGAATAGAAACTATTCAAATTCCTTTCCTTACCTTCACATCTATCAATGTTAACGGCCATGTTAGAAAGAATGACGATTTTTAGTCATAAAACAGAGACCATTTCATCCTGAGTCTGGTATACGTGCTCATTAATTTACTATGTTCATCAGCCATAACACATTAGTGTGGTATTTTAAAATTAATCAGAGGATAAAAGTGCAAGGCCAGATCCACTTTCTCTTCCCTGTAGTTGGAGGTGGGGGGAAGTTGATCTGTCTCTCCCATCCATAATACAGAGGAGGATATAATGCTTCTTCCATTTTGACAACAGCAACAGCCTGGCACAAGCACCTGCACCTCAAGCCAACATAGCTGTTGGTTATGTTCAGTCTTCCAGTGACAAGTTTCAGACTCAGAAAGCAAACAGTTATCTAGCCTGGGAAAACCAATCGTCCTTCACTGCTCCCTTGACCAGAACAAACAGGATTTTTCAACTGAGAGGAGGACCAGGAGTCAGGAGACTTGGGTTCTGGTCCCAGCTCTACCAACTGTATGGCTTTTAACAAGCCACGTATCCCTTCTGTAATTTTCAATTTCTTCACCTGTCAAGTAGGGAAAATGATAACTGCCTTATTGACCTTACATATTGTCCAGGAAAATCAAATGACATAATAAATGTGAAAGCATACTGAATACCGCTATTCATAGGTAAGGTATTTGTAGTAACAGACTGCAAAATAAATTTAGAGTACTGAGGGCCCATGAGGAAATGCTTGAAAGAAGCCTGTTCTTTCTTTCCCATTACTGGGAACCAGGCACAGCCACAAAGCGGGCTGGACACACAGGGCAGTAACATTATTGCATCACTCAGATTCCCTACCATTCCTATCTGGGGACAACTATCAGCCCGCAACATTATCAGCTTCTTGCTCTATTGTCAGGCTAAAACCACCTGTATAGGAAGGGATTCGACTATCACTACCACAGCCCAGTCCCCAAGAACACTGATTCAGTGGTCTCTAACAGCCACATTTGCTACTAGGTAGAATGAAGTCAGTTTCTGAATGGAGATGTCTGTCAGTCCCTCAGGCAAAACACCCTCACCCCTCTCAGCTTTCTGCTCCTTCTCCGGCCCCCTCCTTCCCAATTCTCAATTTCCTCTGCGTTCTGGTTTGGAGAAGGCTTTCCGGTGTGTGAAGTGTGTGAACAGGGACTGGCAATCCAGGGCAGGGATGTAAGGAATGTGAGATTCCTTCATGGAGGGGTGGGAGGGAGAGGGGGGGAAGGAATGGAGGAGGAAGACAAGGCTGTCAAAGACAAGGCATGGGAGAGGAGCCAAGCTATGGCGCTTCGAGGGCGGGGGTTCAGGTTCCGACGCCCCTGCCCACACTGACCCCCAGTATGTTCCCTGCCTCCCCTTCCGGCCCGTCAATCATTGCCCATTTAAACACCACGTGGTTCCCCCAATTCGCCCCCCCCTGACCTCCAGCCAGCCCAGGCCCCCTCCCGCACTTCCTAAGGCTCCCCTACTCCAATGGACCTCCCCAACAACCCACCCATCAGCGCCCCTTTATCATCTCTAGACTCCTCCCTATTACTGCTCCCTTCCTCCATTTTTCATCTTTACTCCCATCCCTCCTCCTGACCTCCAATGGCTCGAACCCCCGTCCCAACCCCCCTGGGACCTTGCCCCCTCCCCTCCCACACCCTCTTTTAGGTGGGAGCTCGCGCAGGCGCCGTACGCACCGCTCTGGAAGCGGTCTGGACTCTCCGTACCCAGGCCTGGCTGAAGCTGAGGCCGCAGCGGCCAAGGGATAGCCCGGGTGCCGGGTCCCAGCTTTTCCTGGGAGGGGAAGGGGAAGGGGAAGAAGACGAGAGATGGTACCGACCACTCTTCGCGGTGTGGGACAGATCCCTTGCCCCGCCCACCGCTGCTACGCAACCTAGCGGAAGCTCGTCAGCAAACTCCGCCTCTTTGTTTAACTCAGTCCCGAACTAGAAGCCACAAGCGGCCAACGAGGAGAGTGGAAGGCTAGCCAGGCCTCCGCTCTAGACCGGAAGTCTTTGTGGTCCCAACGAGAACTAGATAGCCATTTGGGAGGGAGAGCTCTATGTTCTTCCCAGCGTGAGCGTCAGCGGCAGAGCTGGAGGCCGATTCTCCCGCTGGAGGCCGATTCTCCCGCTGGAGGCCGACTCTCCCGGAGAGCGAGACTTCGCTTTGGAGGGGTGCACGTGTTCGTGCCCTAAAGCTGATGCGGCTTGCTGCGAGATCGTCTGTAGGAGGCTGGCCTGCAGTGACCTGCCGTCTCCCCGGTCCCTCTCCCGTTTCCAGAGCCGTGGTCAGCATCCCGGAGCCTCCCGATCTTATGACTCATGGTCATGGGAGTGGATATGTAGTCAACAAGGCGACCACGGGGTGGGGAATGGGGGAGTGTCTGACCGGACAACTTTGATCTAGGGTTGCCCGCCTCTCTCCTACTCGCACTCCTGACGTCTTTACGTCGGCCTTCCAAACACTTGTACAGTTCCCTGAAACACCTAAGGGGAGAGGAGGGAGATAAAATGTCCCTCTTCCCGGGTTGTGGTTTGATTTCCTTAGGGTACAGCACCATGGCTGGGGGTGTGGGCGGGAGAGAACTTGAGCTCCGAGGAAAGTCAAGGTGGACCCTAAAGCCCTCTAGGAGAAGGTAAGGGATTGATTAAGCAAACCAAGGCATTACAATTACATGGCCTCTTAGGCTAATCTGATAGTAAGCAGTATTTGATATGGATATTCGCCAAGCAAATGGTAATGCACATGTACATATATTGTTTATATATAATTGGTCTATAGGCAACATTACAGAGCTAGCTGCCTTTTGTTGACTATGTAACAAGTCTCAGAGGGAACTAAAGGTTCGGGCCTCTTTTCAGTCTCTGAGGGGACCCTGAGATCTAGTGAGATAAGTGCGTTAGGAACAGGTGCCTTTCAAACTGTGAGAGTCTAATGCAAATGTTGCTTTCGGTGCCCCAGATTCCATTACTTCCAAAGGGGGAGGGGGTGAGTCTGCCTGTTGTCTGTCTCTGCTGTGAATGCTGCTTTTTCCAGAGATCTTGACCAAGCTGGATAGTGCATTCAAGTTGAGGACCCCAAATCAGGAATAAAGATGAGAGTTAAAGCAGTTGGAGAAGAGGAGGAAACTGCCTGCTGTGTGCTAGACACAGCTTCTTATATAACTTCTTTTTCTCGTCTGCAAAATGGAATCACATATTGAAGAACTGTCGAGAAAAGAAGTGATGAGCCGGGTTTCATACTTTTGTCCGCCGGATTCCAAAAACCTTTGGTTCTTTTTCCACTGGGTCACGTCTAGGAGAAACAAATCTTAGTGCATTCTCCTAGTCAAGTGGAGGAAAATCGGTACCTGAGACGCCCCCTGGTGGTCCACGTGTTCTCTTGCGCAGCCAACCCTCTCCCGGGCTCCTTTAATACCTAAAATCCCACCCGCTTCGCGGCGCGTGAATCTCGGATCGCGATTGGCCGGGTGGGGACTGGAGGCGGGACGCGGGGGGG